TTGGGGGGGTCACACAGAGGGCAGGGGGGTCCCAGGAGAGGTTTGGGGGTCCCAGGAGATGTTTGGGGTGTTGGGAGGGTCCCTGATGGGCTGGGGGGGTCCCTGGTGGGATTTAGGGGTGATTTTGGGGTGATTTTGGGGCTCTGACCAGGCGGGGCCGGCGCTGTCCCAGCGGAAATCCACGGGCCAGCTGCGGAAGTCGAAGGTGTAGAGACCCAGTTTGCGCTGGGGGGGGACAAAAAACGGGGTGAGACCCCCCCCAAAAAACCTCCCCAACCCCCAGGGGGGTTCCTGACCCCATTTTTGGGGGTCCCATGCTCGTTTTTGGGGGTCCCATCCCCATTATTGGGGGTCCCAGCATCATTTTTAGGGGTCCCATCCCCGTTTTTGGGGGTCCCAGCCCCGTTTTTTGGGTCCCAGCCCTGTTTTTGGAGATTCCAGCCCCATTTTTGGGGGTCCTATCCCCAGCCCCATTTTTGGGGGTCCCATCCCCATTTTTGGGGTCCCAGCCCCATTTTTGGGGGTCCCATCCCCATTTTTGGGGTCCTATCCCCATTTTTGGGGATCCTAGTCCCGTTTTTGGGGGTCCCAGCCCCATTTTTGGGGTCCTATCCCCATTTTTGGAGATCCCAGTCCCATTTTTGGGGGTCCCAGCCCCATTTTTGGGGTCCCATCCTCGTTTTTGGGGGTCCCAGCCCCATTTTTGGGGGTCCTATCCCCAGCCCCATTTTTGGGGGTCCCATCTCCATTTTTGGGGTCCTATCCCCATTTTTAGGGATCCTAGTCCCGTTTTTGGGGTTCTATCCCCATTTTTGGGGATCCTAGTCCCGTTTTTGGGGGTCCCAGCCCCATTTTTGGGGGTCCCAGTCCCATTTTGGGGGGTCCCAGCCCCGTTTCGGGGGTCCCAGCCCCATTTTTGGGGGTGCCAGCCCCCCCACCTTGGCCTCGGGGGTGCCCGTCCTGTGACTCTCCTCCAGCGCCGCGATGAACTCCAGGTACTGGGGGTTGCTCCAGCGGCCCAGCCCTGGGGTTGGGGGGGATTTTGGGGGGCTCAGGGGGGTCCCTGGGGGGTCCCCTGGGGGTCTCAGGTGCCCCCAAACCCCCCAACTGACCTCGCAGACAGGCCACCCCTGCCAGGAGCAGCCCCAGGGTGGCGGCGCAGTGGGACAGGGGAACCACCCGGGACATGGTCAGCAAACCTGGGGGGGGG